ATATGCTTCAAGTACCATTTTCTAGGGTTTCAGTCCCAAAGGTGGAGGCTTTTTGTGCAAATGGCCTCCATAAGCTTAGATCCATCATATTTCTGGTCTATTGGAGTTGTAGACTCATAAAAATGATATCTTGGACGTGAATGTTGCACCATGCATGAGATCTAGGTCCTTGAGTTGGAATAGAATGATTTTAAGAAGTGTTGGAGCCTTTACAGCCATGCCAAGGCTTAAAGGTCTCAACTTTATGGGTATAGACGCATAAACAGAGTCGGATCTAGAAGTTGGAGTAATGGCTTAACCGATTATGACCAGAAATGATGTATGTTGAAGTCTGATGGTTACGCTGGGCGTAACTCCCAGTACGCGCAGCGTACTGGGTGGAGACCCCGATCCATGGGTTGGCGATGTACGCCCCGCGTACATCAAGCTGTACGCCCCGCGTACTCACAGGGTTGACTTTTGTTGACTTTTAGGGTTTTGGTCAACATGAAGACTTTGGGTCAAGGAAGGGTAAAATGGTCTTTTACCCTCTAAGGAATGATGATAAGGGGTAAAGTTTAATTGTGGAAGTCTTTGATTATTAAAATGATATTTTTATGATTAGGCGGGGTAGAGTCGTCGTTGGGATTTGGAGTTAGCGAGTACGCGAGATCTTAGACTTTCCACGAGGTGAGTTTTCTCACTATACTGTACCCGGAAGGGTTTTATTGTGTGACCGGAAGGTCAGATATGTTATGAGTTATATGCATTGTATGTGATAAGTTAATCGTTTATATGTGTCATGTATGATATGCTTGATATGGGCCGGAAGGCATTATGTTATGGGCCGAAAGGCGTATATGTTATGGGCCGGAAGGCGCTGTGATGTGGACCGTAAGGTTGACGTAGGTAGGACCGGAAGGTTTACCTAGTCGGGACGGAAGTCCCCTGAGACACATGGATCGGAAGGTCAGGGCCTGGAAAAGCGTATGTGCGCAAGTTGTATTTTGGGGAACTCACTAAGCATTTATGCTTACAGTTGTGTTATGTGTTTCAAGTACTAGCGAGGACCCTGGGAAGACGCCGACGTGATTGTACACATTGTCGGAAAAACTATTTTATGATCATTGGGATGTATTTTGTTATGATAACATTGTTCACGTTTGAATTTGGAATATTAAACGATGGTTTTTGATGTTTGCAAGAATGAAAAATTTGTTTTAAAATTTACGTTGTTACAATATATATATTAAAATTGTGTGTTCTTAGCTACAATAATTTGGGCTCTCTTTTGTCAAAATTCCCCCTTCTATTATGCTCTTCTTGCCCTTATATTATGTTGATGTTGTCGCCACAAACAGTCTAGATATGGACATTTATCTGCATTGTAACTAATACGTGTCATTTTTTCATTCCCTCTTCCATTGTAACCGATACGCATCCTTCCCACCGCCTCCACTACTTCCTACTCCAAACACGGTGTCCTCCACCGTTTCTATTCCCCAATAACATTACTCCACCACATCTCGTGTCACACCCTCAAACCAAGGATGGCGGAAACGTCCGGGGGTGACGGACTTCATGTATAGTATCACAACAACGAGTATAATATTGCTCAAAGTAATTACAACCATCATAAATATAATTGAAAAAGTTACACCAAAGTATATGTTTACATGATTCAAATCAATTACATTATGATACAAAATGAACTGTTTGACAATTTATCGTCCCATCCTCAAAACGATGTTAATTTCCTGTTTCACTGAATTCCTGAGAATACAAGTAGTTTTGAAAAGTGTCGACACAAAGGTTGGTGAGTTCATAAGCTTTTGACAGTAAGAGTTTGAAAATCGATCTTTGTAAAGAGATGTATGTTACCAAGAAAAATCCAATATTTTCCTTATAAAAGTTATGTGGTCCTAAATACACCGAAAATGAACAAGTATTTGTCATACTTAAAGATATAAAAGTGGTTTCACATTGTCGTAAAAACCCTTTCTAATTTGAGAAAACTCCCGTAATGAATGGTGTGTAGTCTTAAATGCCAAGACTGAAAATTTACAGCAATATCTGTAATTATTGATATATAAAGTGATTTTAAATTGACATAAAACCATTTTTAATATGAAGGCGTACAAGTATTTTTCCATACTTAAAGTAATTTCAGTGAGCTAAATCGATATAACTCACTAATTTAAAGTTAGAACCCGTAAATCTTATGATTTGTTAATACCACATGTGAGTTATCATAACCATACTTGACTTAGAAGGCCTCGTAATGAGATGTTCTTCAGGCGTCGCCGTTAAATGACATTTGTCACCACAGACCTACCGGTCTAGCTGTTGCAAGCAGCTCTGGTGTGGGTTTGTCAAACCCAATATAGATCTATACACAACTATCACGTTCTCCCTACAAGAGACTCTGGTTACAATTTACTGGACTTTTTGAATTGGTTACTTTGGAAGTAACCCGAAGCTAATGACTCAGAAATGTATTCATTAACAGATTTACGTGAACTAAGTTTGAGAAGTAAATGATACATAAACTATACCTATTATATTTTATCCAAAATGTTTGTAATGTATAAAAATTCTTTTATGAAAATGCATTAGTGTTATATATCCATAAACTATGCTTATTATAGCTTAATATTCGTGTTCTAATTGAATGAATAATCTTATCATGAATGACTAAGTTTCAGTTTATGATGATAAACTAACAAGGAAACACATTCAATATTTAGAAATTATTGTTATACACTTTGCTCAACATAATACAAAGTGTTATGAAAGTTATATGCTGTTAACTAATTTTAACCTTTCTGCTCTGTTTTAGAAAAGTCATGGAAAAATCATACAAAGTCGAAAACTAAATCCGTAAATTTTGAGAGTTCCCAAAATGTATCTAGTTTACTCATAATTTTTATCATGATTTTTAATGACCTCTAACTTGGGTGAAAAAGTCCATAATCACAGACTGGTCCGAATTGATGTTTGAAATGATAGGCAGTTTTGTAAAAATCACCATAAATTGTATAAAAATCGTATGGAGATGTGCAGGTAGCCATTTTAAAGCTAAGAACTTGAACTATTTGAATCTAATACAGTTTTGAAAACTTAAATGTTTAAGTTGTCCAAAACAGTCCGTGAATGGAGTCCAACTTTTCTGATGAAAGCTGTTAGCAAAGTTTAGTTATGTTCTTGGTGTTTTAACTTGTATTCCCCCCCCCCTCCCACTTAAAACTTAAGAAAAAATGAAAATACAGGGTTATGAACTCACCTTATGTGATTTCAGTAGATGGATGATGGAGAAAAGAAGTGTTCAACTCAAGAACACTTGGGAGATGCTTGAAGATTTGAGGATCTAACAACAAATATGACGATATTTGTGTAAGAAATCTATGATTTGGATGAAAGATAGTAGAATATCTAAGTGTAGGAGGAAGATACTTACCAAATGTGGAGGAAAAATCTAAGATTAGCCCTTATATCTCGAAATTTTAGAGAGAGGAAGTGAGAGAGAAAATATGTTTGATCTTTGGTGGAAGAATGAGAAAATGAGAAAAGTGTGAGGAGAGAGGAGAGTTTTCTAGCCTTTGACCAATTGTGTGGTTGGAAAAAGGTGGGAAAAGTACAATGAAGTGACTAGGTATGGGCCGATGGGGAATAGTGACCTGGAGTGAGTATGGGAGGTTGCTTGTGTCATAGATTAAAGCAAAGTCAACACTCCACCTCTTGTACTTCACTCACTCTCTTGGATAAGGTTTATCCCCAAAAATGTGGATAATTAGTAAATATAGGGCCTTATATGTTAAAATAAAGTTTTGGGTGAAAATCCCGCGTTAAAACAATTAAAAACGGGCCTAAAACGCAAAACTAGTCGAAAACCGGGAAGAAAAGGACTTCCAGCGAGACCTCTCGGTCCTGGCCGGAGGTTCGGTCCCTTCTGGTTGGCCGGACGCGAAATGAGGCGAAGAAGGTAAGAGGCGAAATGGGCCGAAGGGGTAGGAGGCGAAATGGACCGAAAGAGTAGGAGGCGAAATGGACCGAAGGGACCTTCGGTTCCTTGTGTGAGGTTCGGTTTTGACTAGTTCGCTTCTGACAGGTTCACTTCTGATGCCTTCGCTTTTGATAGGTTCGCTTCTGATGCTTTCGCTTCTGATAGGTTCGCTTCTCATGCTTTCGCTTCTGATGAGTTCGCTTCCTAAGAGGGGTTTCGGGTCCTTAAGAGGGTTCGACTCCTTGAGAGGGGTTTCGGGTCCTTAAGCCTATTTTACTCGTTTTTACCCCGTTTTAAGCCGTTTTTGACCCGGTTAAGGGTCAGGATGGCCTGAAAGACTTTAAAAAGTTATGGAAACTTTTGAGAGAGATTTGGGAGAGATTTCACCTTCTTGGAGAGATTTCTCATACAAAGAGAGATTTGGGAGAGATTTCACATTCTTGGAGAGATTTTTGGGAGAGATTTCACATACTTGGAGAGATTTCTCATACAAAGAGAGATTTTGGAGAGATTTCACATTCTTGGACATATTTCTCATACAAAGAGAGATTTAGGAGAGATTTCACATTCTTGGAGAGATTTCTCATACAAAGAGAGATTTCACATACTTGGAGAGATTTCTCATACAAAGAGAGATTTGGGAGAGATTATCGATAAAGAGAGATAGAGTGAAATTGATTGAGAGAGGTTTCGTGTGTGACATTTGTGAGTGTCCGGCTTCGCAATGCAAGGTCTATAAACCCCATTAAGCCATGTTTAAGGACCTTACACACTCCCGATGAGTATGCAACATTGTTTTATCGGTTTGGTTCGCTACTTACCACAGTTTTAGGTTGAGGAAATCTAGATGTACGTACTTTTCAATTTATGACTTCTCATTAGAATAGAGAGTTGTATAGTATTTACCTATCATGAGCTCTAGTACACAAGGGATAGTTGAGTTGACCGGTTTGACTTGTTGACTTTATTTGACTTTGACTTGACCAGAAATTGACAGTTGTCACATCTCGCACCACCAATGCCTCGATACCTTAATACTAGATGCTTTCGAGATGTATTCGTCGATTGTGCTTCCCACCCCACCGCTTATCTTCTGTTTCTTCATCGAATCCTTTTGTTTCCTTCATCCATCGCCGTTCAATTCAGTCCTGGTTACTTCCTCCGATATCTATCTGTGTTCGACGACCATCAACGAAAGGGGAAGTACGGTTACTAAGTCGATTATCTCTGTCGTATACAAACCCTCTTCATTGTTGAATGAAGCAAAATCATAGAGACATGTCCATTCGTTCCTTTCAACCTCCATATTGCAGCGAATGAGATCGATTTTAGTTCCGATTTCCAAAATCAAACACACACACATACACACATCAAATTGTTGAATGAAGCAAAAGCATAGAGACTTGTCCATTCGTTCCTTTCAACCTCCGTATTGCAGCGAATAAGATCGATTTTAGTTCCGCTTTCCAAAATCGAACACACACACACATACACACATCAAATTAAGTAAGTCAATGTTATTTTCAATATCAATCAGAAAGAAGGAAAGCGAAAAGCAGGATCGACTAAAAATGGGTTACTTCTTTTCCTTTGGTGAATTATTGCACTATCTTTTTTTAGGTCGATATCCAAAGAAGGATGTCAGGTTCTTCTTTTCTCGATTTCTAACTACCAATCGATATTTATTTTCTGTTGATTTCATACCATTACGTTTTTCTTCTTTCCCAGGTTCAACTCTTATTTACTGATTTCGTATAGGCTTTTGTATGTTGAATAGGTAAGCACCATTTTAAGTTGCTTAATCTTGATTGAACCCCGATTGGTTACTTTTCCTGAAATTCGGATGGTTTTCAACCCGTTGTGCAATATCAGATTTTACTGGTAGTGTTGGGGTTGTAGTTGTTAGCAAAAAATAAGGCAACTCTTTGGACAGATGGGGAATATTTTCTCTAGGTTTATCTAATGCTCTCAGTTCTTTACATTGCAAGGCTATGACCATTAAAAGACATGTATGTTTGATTGTTTCTTCTTTTGATTTTCATTATTATTTTCATTCCTAGGCAAAGTAGCAATTAAGGTCGAGTTGGATCCTTATAATTGGGGTGTGCCCAACACTACTCAATGGCTCAATGATGTTTTAGCTCCTGGTGGCAGAATTGGTATAGATCCTATTTGATTCTTTGCTTTATAATGTATCCTAAATTTACCCATTTTTGGTAGATAAGACAAAATGATATAGCTTATAATAGACGAACTTGGCATCAATCTTGGGAATATGGACTTTGAAATGGTTGGATCTTAAAAAAAGGTTTGTTACCTTACTACAAGCATCAAGAAATGAACTTTAATTTATGGGTTTTGTTTATAACTAAATCATAAATGATGATTCTTGGTTTAGGTCACCGTGTCCAAAGATGACACAATTGATGTTGATGGTGTTGGTGATAAGAAATCTATGGAAGATAAGAAATTGAGGAAGCACACCATGTGTTCGAAAAAATGCATACTTGAAATTTGGGTAATTGTAAAAAGTTTTCTCTATACATTTGAATCAATGGCAGAGGTATGTTTCCTAAAAGTTCCTCCTATGTTTCTTTCATTTTTGGGGTGATTTATTTTTTCTGATTCTATTTTGTTTACTATTTCATTGATTTTTTACAAATTGTTAATATTTTGGTCGAGTTGTCTAATTAAATTGCATTCCCGTCCCTGTATCAAGGTTTGACGATCTTTGGCAGATGGTGAATTCACTTCAACTTGTACTATGGATCCAGACACTTAAACAAGGTATTCATGATTTGCTTCTTAATTTAGGTATATTTGTTGTTCCTAAACAATAAATGTGAAGATAAGAAAATATCGGGTTTTTTTTCTTCTGGAAATATGACAAAAAGGCAATTGTTTATCAGTTTAGGACATGTAATCATTTTCTGTTAACATCTTGACTTGGTTTTAAATTTATTGTAATATTGCATGTTTACATCAACATTGTTATTACAGGTGAAAGTTATTGCTAAAGAGATGGGAATTGGATTTATAGGAATTGGTTTCGAGCCAAAATTGGAAAGAAAAGATATACCTGTAATGGTTAAGGTAAAAATAATTAATATATTTTAATTGTGTTGGCTCAGGGAAGATATGAGATACTGAGGAATTACATGCCTAAAGTTTGTTCTCTTGGACATGACATGATGTTCTGGACATGTACTGTTCAGGTACATTACATACAACTAATTCTCGATTTGATTTTGATTATCTTTTTTAAAAAATTAAAAGTTAAAATTACACATATTACCTTAGCAGGTTAATCTGGAATTCTCTTCTGAAGCAAACATGATAAGAAAGTTCCCTGCTGGTCTTGCTTTACAACACGTGACTAGACAGTAGAGTATGCATGCTTTGTAGTTTTCAGTGATTTTGGCTGTGAATTTACATATTGAATGTGAATGAGATTGCTACTGCACTGTTTGCAAATTCACCATTTACAAAAGGAAAGTCGAATGGCTATCTCAGCATGAGGAGGTCAGGTTATCTTAAATATAATAATATAATATAATATATGAAATGGGAAGAATTAGAAACTGAGACTGATAAATTGTATTATATAATTAGTCGTATCTGGACGGACACTAACTGCCTTTGATGCAGGTTTTCCCATTTGTGCCATCTAAACTAAATTCCCAAATTGCCCTTGGCAGAGAGTCTCACATTATTGGTATGATCTGTCCTTCTTTTTGGATTATTCATTGCTTATTGGTAGATTTGTCCTTCTTTTAGTGTAAATGTCTCAAATGGATTATTGGTATGACACAAACACAAATGGGAAGTATGTTTTGAAGAGTTTCTAAGTTTCGATTTTCAGTTTTTGATATTATTATGAATAGATTTTTCAAATATTTTTGTTTGTTTGTTATAATTTAGATGATCAATATCCATGCACCCCTTGAACTAAAATTTCGTTTATTCACTTCAGATTTCATTAGAATTTGGTCAAAACCATTAAGTCGCCTCACATATCCCTTACTGCCATATTAGTTTCTTCCTCTATTTCTTTAATGTTTAAACTGTAGAAACATATTATAAAAACTATTTTCTTTTTTACTTCACATCACAGGTGAATGAAACTGAGTTCATCAAATATGCAACAAAGTTAAATCTTCAACTATGTAGTGATGGATTAGTTCAAGAAAGAATGAAGTTATTTAAGAGTCGAATAATCCCTGAAGTCGTAACATACAACATGGCAATTGTGAAAGGGTTCTGCCAATGGAATTGTACTTATTTAATGCATTTAGTAATGGTATTTTGATCCACGGGATATGTAAAGGAAAACAGGTTAGATTGATAACATATTTACACAAACATGTTCCATATTTCTTGAATCCTTTTAATTACATAACATGCCAAAATGATCGGAACTATCTAAATCTATCCCTGCAACGCGGGGTTCCTCATCTAGTTAATGAATATGTTTATTCTCATATTTACAAATGCATACAATTAGAACTCATACATATATATATATATATATATATATATATATATATATATATATATATATATATATATATATATATATATATTTCAATTGAGAAAATAAAAAATGTATAAGGAAATAATTCTCAGTCAAACATTTATATTTGCCGCAAAACACTCTTGCATTAACAGATGATGAGTAATTTTCGTATTTTCTCATAAATGAATAGGTTTTTATTCTCATATTTGTAAATGTCATACAATTAGAACTCCTACTTAATATTATATCTCACCATGCCAGTTGTCAACCTATTAATTATCAATTTTAAATTTCTTATTCTAATTACATTAAATTAATAATTGATTCTTTATTTTAAATTTCAAATTTAAATTTTTTTCACTTTAGTTATATTAAATTAATAACATTAAATTAAAAATAAAATAAAATAAATGCATATTATAAGGTTATATAACTTCATGTATTTATTTAAACCACGATTATAATTTTGTATAACTAAAAAATAAGTTTTAAGTAATAATTTATTTAAAATAAGTGATTAATAATTTTGATTTTTTAATACGATAGTTTAATTAATTTTATAACTGTGATTCTCACAGGTTATAAACTAGGATGTATATAAATACAAGTGCATTCATATATGAATCAACCACCTCCATTCCGCCACCAACATCCACCGCTACCGCCACCAACCACCACTGCCACCTTTACTACCACCAACACCCCCATCACCAACCACCGCCACCTCCACCACCAACCATTGTTATCATATTTATATATGAATATTCATTTCCTCTATAGTTATTCATATATGAATATGCGTATTCATATATGAATATGATATGTTCTGTCGATCCGCTACGCTGAACGCTTAAGCGACAGATTCGAAATTAGTAGCCCATATTCATTTACTCAGTCTCAATCTTTTTTTCTTAATTGTATTATCGTCTCTCTCTGTCTCTATCTCTCTCTCTCTCTCTCTCTCTCTATATATATATATATATATATATATATATATATATATATATATATATATATAGAGAGAGAGAGAGAGAGAGAGAAAGGTAGGTTCAAATGTTTTTCACATCTATTGTGTGCTAGAATGCACCAATAAGAATTTAGTATTAATTATATGTATATTAAATGTTATCAATACTTATAACTCATTTTTATGGAAACTAATTAAATTTCTCATTAATGTCAACAATAACATTCTGAAAGAATGTTATTGTTGATATTAACGACATATTTAATTAGTTTCCATAAAAAGAAAATTATATTTATGGATATCATTTAATATACATATAATTATGGAAATCATTTAATATCTATAACTATTTAATTAAATAATTATTTAATTTACTAAATTTCTATTGGTGCATTATAGCACATAATAAATGTAAAAAACAAAATAACGTAGCCCGATATATATATATATATATATATATATATATATATATATATATATATATATATATATATATATATATATCGATTTTATATTCATATTTATTTCGAGATTCGTGATTCTATTTGCCAAATTACTTAAAAATATAAGAATAATGTAGAAACACTAAGTACTGACGTCTTTTAGAACTTAAGAGCGATCGGTATGGGCCAAAACGAGAAACGACGCGGGTGACGTGGTGGGGCGCAACGCCGTCTTAACGGGGGGAACATCCCCCCCCCCCCACTCGATGCATCCCGTCCTTCAATTCTCGTGGCCATCAAAACGAAGTGAAAATGAAAAAATTACCGTTGGGCTCTTATGACCGTTTGCAAACGGTCTACATTCAAACATTTTTTTTACCTTTATATATATATATATATATATATATATATATATATATATATATATATATATATATATATATATATACACTCATTTTATTTCAAATTTTACATCTTTTTTAATATTCTATCTATACTTTTATAAACTTTCTTACTCAAAAGATTGAGCGAAACCCGAACACCTCCCCATCATCAAACCCAAACACACAACCTCGCCTCTCGGATTTGTGGGTTATGAATGTTATTTCAACATTTTATCGACTCAAGGCTCACCACAAATTTAATACCAAGGCGCCGCTTTCAATCCCGCTTCACCGCCACTATAGTTTCCCAACTCACCTTACCTTCAACAAAATTTATTTGGTAAAACCCAAATTTACAACAAAATCTTTTCCATGGTTTTCCTTCGAGGCAACAAACAACCAACCAACCATCGCCTACAACACAACAATCGGTTGAAGTGGAAGCGAGAGGGTAGTAGAAGAGGGAAAGGCAAACGAAAATCGAAAGGGAAATCGATAGCGGTTGAAAAGGAAAGTGCAGACGTTCCACAATGGTGGACACCGAATGAGGAATATGCTTTGACGGCGACTTGGTGTGCTACTTCAAAAGACGAACTTCGCGGAAATGGAATGAAAAAATGAGCTTATTGGGGGGCGGTGCTCGAAAAGTTTCACACTATTTTAAAGAAAATTTTGTATTGCGACAACGACATGTTGAGCAGCAAATGAGGTCAAATAACTAAGCGATGCAGCAAATTCAGCGGTATTTACAATCGGCTTCAGATGCAACAGCAAAGCGAAACCAACGACTTTGATTTGTTCAAATCGGGTACAAATGGGACATGTTTTCGACTTCGAAAAATCATGGGAGTTATTGCGAGCGAATCTAATGCGGAATAAAACGCCTACATCGTCGGAGGTTCAATCCAAAAGGTCTCACAATTCTAGCTCGGTCGACGTGTCGGACTCACAGACTCGCATCGACCTTAACGCCGACGACGATGAGATCCCGGATGATATCCAAGAGATATCCCCACCACGACGACTGCCCGGACGCGACAAAGCGAGACGCGTGCAAGACATGCGGAGAAGGTGGAGACGAGAGCAAAAGAGGCGGCGGAAATGAGAGCGAAATTCGACGATCACAATTTGTTAATAAAAGAAAAAAAAAATGAGTTGAAACGTCGTCATTTGGAATTCCTGGAAAGGCAGGTACGAGAGAAGCAGGGGCAAAAATAGAGGGAACTAATGACACATCAGTTGTCAATTCTTCGGACGAGCGAGGAGGGTTTGGTGCCTGCTGATCTAGCGGTGCTACAAGCGTTGAACGAACAAATTAGGAAGAAATATTTGCGTTAATTAGGATTTTTGTGTGGTTTTAGTAATAATTTGAATGATATATTAGTTATGATTTTAGGTTTAAAATTATGTTTTTTTTTTTTAATTGTAATCGTAATTTTAGATTTCAAATATTATGTATTTTTCTTGTTTTTAAAATTTTATGTTTTATAAAATATATATTCATGTTACTGATTAAAAAAAATTCAAAAAGGAAGAAAAACGAAAAAGTAAAAAGAAAAAATAATAATAATAATCTCGAAAAAAAAAATCGAAAATAAAACATATTTATTTTCAAAATGTTTGTGTTAAATCTTGTTGTCCATTTTCCCACTTGGTTATATAACATTATTTGCTTATGTGACATATGATCATTTGCTTATGTGGCATGTGAGATGACACGATTGGATGTTACACCTTACTGCCCACACCCAATATTCTAAAAAAAATAAAAATCTACTTTTAGGAACATCAATTTTATATCTATATTTAATTGTGTGATGCGTGATTATTTTTGCCGAATGATCATACTCCTTGACAAGAAATACTTATTCTATGTAGATAAGCACTAGAATACTTATCCATAGCATAAAGATGCGCAATTATAACTCAAGTAATTACTTTTGTTTCTTAGTGTATTGTCTTTGCGTATAAAATAAACAAGTCAATCCTATGTTTAGACATAACTTTAGATTTTTTTTTCACAATTTTAGGCATTTTTCTTTTGTATTCTTCTTTTGTGAAAAGCAGTTGAAATATCA